TTTAAATAAACGTTTCACAGCGGTGCGAATTATGGTAATTTATTTGTATAATATTACTCAAGCGTCACCTGTTAAAAATTAGAACATTTGAAGCTCTGGTTTTAGAGTGAATTAATTTTTACTCAAGCAAAATTATAATAATATGTGAGAGTTTCTTTACAGTGTTCAGATAACTGTAAATTAGAGTATCTTTAAGGTAATTATTTATCATAGCCATCTACTTCGATGGTGAAAAACAGCAATTCATAGTCAAAAACTTTTTGCATGTAAATTAATTTAACTTTAATTAATTAACTTTAGATGTTTGACTAAAAAAAATTTATATATTTACGAAATTCCAAATCAGTAAAAGTTTCCGTTTTATATCATCATATATAAAACATCAATTTCAGTTTAACCCAATTTTATTTGTGTAAAAGTCAGATTTTTTTAACCGTAGTCGGATAAAGTGATTTTATTATGTTAATAAACTAATAAGACTCCACGTTAAATGTCAAAAAACCTTGTGAACAGTTAATACAACAATATTTTTCTACAGTAGATGTATTATTCAAAATCAAAATTTATTAAAAAAAAAAAAAAAACAGAAAAATGTTTAAATATATTTATGATCAGTAAAAATTTAAATGGATATTTACTATTTAAGTGTTATAGTACTCAAGGAAAGGCAAATAATTCGGCTTTATAGTTGCAATAACGTTATACTAACAATAATCTAATAATACACTGGGATACACCAGAGACTGTGACAATGTGTCTATACTAGACCACGACCATTTGATGTTATGAAAACATGTACTTTAACAACACAACACACAGGGAATAAATTCCATTTATATGCAATTATATTGGCAACAATAGATACATCCTTAACTTAATATTATTCTAACTTATATGGGAAAGCAAATTATTATTTTTTTAAATTTTTTTATTTATTTTTTATAATTATAATTATAAATTTCTAAATGTACTTTTCCAATGTTAAAAATAAAAGTATAATGGTAGTAGATTGTTTACACGTACATATATACATATATTTACGAAATTAAATTCATAGTATCTAAATGATTATATTATTTACCGTATAAGTAAGTCATTTTAATAAACAGTTATTAGAAGTAGGGTTTTGTTATTATTCATTTCATTAAAATAGTTCAAAAAATGTAAGAAAATAAAAACGTGATGATTATACAAGTTATAACATAAAACGGATAACCAAACAAATTGCAAAATCAATATCCATATCAAATCAATGAAATACATTTTTTCTGAAACAATGCCTAATTATGGATAATTATGCAAGAGCTAATTTGAATTTTCTTAGTAACATCGGTACTACTTGTAAGTGTACATGTGCACGTATACATTGTATAGTCAAATTACCGTATAAGCCATCATTACTTACTAAGCCGTAGGAATCTGCGGTCAATCTGTGGTTGCTTTGTGGTTACCTGCTTAAACGTCAAAACTTAATATTTGTCTTTAAGTTAAACAATAATTTATTTTAATTTGTATACATTTTCATTCAGTTTTTTTTTTTTTTTTTTGTACTCATAACCGTATGCTATGTATGTTTATATAGATTTATAATCCGAGTACAGAATGATAGATATATTTTACGTGTTAATCGTTATGTGGAATTACGTGGCACGGACGGTTCGATAAAATAAGTCACTTGGACGACAACAGGACAGAAAATATAATATATCATTCTCGTGCGTTATTGTCAATATTTGTAATAACGCACCGTAGGCTCAATAAAAGACAGGTAATTGTGTGCGCACGTATTATGCAAATGTCGTAGCCACCGTCCAGCGGTATGAAAATATATGATATAATCATACGCTCACAATCGTCACGATTATATGTGACTAATAACGTTTTTACCAGCTACGACCCATTATTTTTTAGTTGTTTTGACAATTGGACGAGTGCATTTACGGGGTATTGTCTGTACATAAATATTACGCACCTAGTAACAGGAACCTGAATGATTTCACATATTTTCGTTATTATTCCGTAATATTTGTTCAACGTAAACGTCCGTGTACGAATGGGAGCGTTGTGTTTTTTTTTTTTTTACTTATAGATATAAGTAAAAAAAAAAAAAAAAAACGTACACGGATCCGAGGCTAAACGAATGCACGCACACCTGCAGTTGCATATTCGGCTGTTAAACGGTATAATTTCTACGCGACTCGGCTGTGCGCTACACGAATATCTCGTGGGCCAACGACGGGATTCTGATGTCAATTGGTAAAAGAAGAAGAAGAAGTAATAGAAAAATAAGTAGGAGAAGAAGAAAAATAACTGGTTTTAGGTTTTTGACGACGAGCTTATCGGCGGTATATTTCGAGTTGGCGCGGAAATATGTCGGCTGACTAACGGGGGTCGATACATTACCAGTCAGTTAGTGGACCACGTTGAACTTGTGTCGAGAACTCCGGAACGAAATAATTATACCGCTTTTTCCACGGACCTGTAGAAACGATCGGTCGACCGGGGAACGTCGAAACCGCGCCGTTGTACATTCTCGCTGGTTCTCAGGTATGATATTATTGTTATTCGCGTATTTCGTCAACCGTCGGATAAAAATCGAATTGATGTATTCGAAATGCGATCCGGACAACAGCACTGTCGTAGGCTGTGTTACTGCAATAAGTTTCGAAAACGTCCGACGCACAACTCCGGGGCACGTGGAGACGGCATCGTTCGTTGCGCACGTCAAACGCTATTATTTCGTCATCCGTTTTAGCGTAACGTTCGCAGCGGTCGTCCCGCGTGGGAGTTCGTTGCATTTTGCGCCGTCCGGTGTCCGCGTGTTTGCGCGTGAGCGTCGCAATACGTACGCGTATTATTGATGTTGTTGTTGTTGTTGCTGTTGCTGTTGCATTATAATGTCGGATGTGTAGAACACGTTACGCCGTCATGCGGCACAAGGTGCGCGCGTATATTATTGTTACTAGGGCCCGGATGTTGATGCCCTAAAACACCAATGGAAAATATCTAAAAAAAAATTAAAAAATGTAGGAAAAAAAATATTATTTTTATGACGTATGAAACACACAAATGCTCTAATTTTTTTCTCTTGTTCACAAACTTAATTCTAAAAAACACTCATGATACAACCGGTTAAGTAATTATTGACCGATTTTTAAATTCATAATAATTACTATTCACCATATGTATATTTTATTTGTTTATTTAACGTACAGCTTGTACGATATAGCAGATTTACAACATTATCATACAATAAAGTATGTGTAATACAAAAATATATTAATAATAGCAACAACAAAAATGATAGCGATGACAACATTAACAGTAGGTTATAATTAGGGAACGGATTTATATGTTAATGCATATTTTTATTAAAAAAAAGGTATTTAAGATTCGAAAAGAAATGTTTATAATTTAAATCATTCCTATTAAAATTATACTACTTTTATCTTACATATTTTTATATGTTTCACTAATTTATAAATATTTTAAACATAATTTATAATTTCATTATTCATACGATTTCTTCTTACAAAAATACAAGAAGTTATTTCAAAATTAGATCCAGAAACTTCTATTACTATTGGAAAAGCTCAAAATATTATGCGAAATGAAACATTGAAAAAAAATGTAATTTTCGTCTCAGTGTATTTTAGTTTTATTACACATACAATTACAAAATTAGAAACAAAAAATATGTCTTTAATGATAGTATGCAAATTGACGAATCAGCAATTGAAAAATTAAAACTCGTAAACGGACCAATAGGAGATATTGTAAAAAAGAAAAATCATGCTGTTACAGAAAAAAATCCAGGCTATACTGATTTTAAAACAAACAATGACAATGAATGGCACCCTTCGAAACATTTGGAAATATCGTCTTCTGATATTTTGCGCTTAATTTGCTCAAATTACATCGGTTGATACGAAACGATCATTTAATGGCTTTAAAAATATTTTGAAGCCTAATAGGCGACATTTAACACTCGATAATTTAAAAGAAATTATAATTATTCAATGCAACAAATAATTTTGATAGTTTAATAATTAATATTTTATAAATTATACTTCCATGTATATTTACATATTTTTGTATTTTGATTACATATAAATCCGTTCCATAGTTATAATAAACAATTAAACACGGTGATTTGTCTTTTACAATTTATGAAGTATTTATGGAGTTATATGGAGTCCAACCGTTCTGTAGCTCCGTCTTCTAAATGATGGTCCAATCCGCTTTCGAAAGAATACAAATGACATTCCTCTACGATTATAACGTCATCGTTTGGTTGCCACTTCCATATTGGTAATCACTTGATGGTTACATTAAAAAGGGGTCAATAATTGAACGGATCGGGAGGCTAATATTTTCCAGTTATTTTTACAGTTCGTTCCGGAGCGCCCCCTCTCACCATGATCGGTTCGAGTTTTAAAATTGACTGGATGTAAAAAAAAAAAAAAACAGTTAAAAGCGCTTGAAACCGATAAACCCATAAACAAAGCAAAATCAAAATCAGTTGCGTAGTATGCGACTGAAAGGTGATGATGTGCCACGAAAATCTACTACCACGGTAATGCGATCGACGACGATCACTGTAGTTATTACGATCGTCGCCGTCTAGGGCAGTCGGCCGTGGGCGACGGTGATCCGACGGACCGGGGCCGTCACGTTCGACCGGCCGCCGGGAAGAGCGGCGCGGAAACGCGCGACGACACTCGCCCGCGGTACGTGCGCGCGAGCGGTACCTACGCACGGCGATAGCGGTACGTACCGTACACGTACGCGCGCCGCGGCGTAATGTTATGCACGCAACCGCCCGGACGACCGCCGCCGCCGCGCAGCGCGCGCGCGTGTGCATGTGTGCGTTTGTTGGTTACGTGTATGCCGCCGTCGCCGCCGCCCCTCCAACGGACAGGTTTTGTTCGCCGTTGCCGTGTGTAGCGAGCGTGCATAGGTTGTTGTTGTTTTTCATTCCGCTTCTTCCTCTCTTCCCACCGCCGGCCGGCCGCGGAGAGAGAGCTTGCTGGCTGGCCTACTCCGTGACCGCACACCGTTCGCCAGCACAGTTGTACCAGCGACGTGTGACGCGGACCAGTCCATCGCCAGTACGTGTCGTTGCCGGCCCGGTGGTGCGCTCTTTCTCTCGCTCTCTCTCTCTCTCTCTCTCTCACACTCTCGTCGTCGTGTGTTCCGCGCAAACGAAACGACAACGTGTCCGCCGTTCGGGGCCGCGTGTGCACCACTCCGCACGGCTCAAGAGCCCGAAACAGTGACGGCGGCCCAGTGGTGTCCAGGCATCGGGACCGGAGGCCGCGGGGACACGGCCCAACAGGTAAACGGCGGTCGACCACCGGTTCTTTTCGTGGTCGTCTCATCCCGCGCACCCTTTTCGAATCGCTTCGGGGCCGCGGCGAGCGCGCGACAACCGCGTTAACCTTACGGTACAGGTGTGTACCGTTGCCTGCGCGTCCTACGCAACGGCGACGGCCCGGTAAAATCGATCGCGTCGAAACGCACCGACCACGCGCGGGCCCTGTGGCTTTTGGTGTTACGTTTCTGTTGTTTTTATTTTTTATTTTTAGCCGATCAAAGCGCGCGGTTTTTCGCAGCGCGATCTTATTGACAACGGCGCGCTAACCGCGTTCGACCACGCTTGACCGAAGAACTCGAAGTGGAGAACCGTTGTCGGGTCGGCCGACAGCAAGCAAAAGTCGCCGCGCGCGCGTTAAGACCCGATCGATGCGCGCGGATCGCGTGCTACGATGCGATATCGTTTCTGTTGCCGTGCCCGGGTACCACGCGCTTTCGGGTTCGCCGCGCGAATCGTTCGTTTTCCTTTACCGTCCCCGTCCCTCCGCGAAGTACCCTCCACCCTGTCGCACCGGCACCCTTTCGTCCTCCTCCCCCGAACGCGCCGGTTCGTACTACACACAACCTCTCAACTATCCGCCTGCCGTCGGTGCTCGTGTACATAATTTATGAGCGTCGAGTACGTGTTAAAATCCGCTCGTTTTCAAACCATCAAACGGTGCACAATTGAATCATTATTATTGTTAAGTCGAATTTCGGTTTTGTTACGCCCTGTCACGTCCTGTACCGCGCAATCTATTCATTTTAAATACTCGTACACTCCGTTATATAAATAAAAATAAAAAATAAATTTTTTTTAAATACTGTGTAATGAGGTTATCCTGTGTAAAAATTACGTAGTTTATAATATCACGTTCAACGAGGTATCTAATTTACAAATTGTTTTCCGTCGATTGCGTAAGCTATTGTTATTATTATTGTTGAATATTTTTTTTATTTCTCTTCGGATATTTATAATATGTAACCGCTTTTTTTTCTTTTTTGCAAATTTATTCTAATCAAATCAATTAGATAACGAAACAACGCCTTGCGTCTATGACTTATAGAAAAGTTCATGAAATCATCATTTACTCGTTCATTCAAATTGTTAGTTTACTATATGTTTTCATTGAGTAATAGAAAATTTAAAATAAAAATACTAACACTGTCCAATCGAAAACATTTGTCAGTATTCATTATGGTATTTCGGGATATTGTTAAATACTGTTGTTATTTTATACTGAAAGGAAAACATAAATTTTATTCCGTACCGATACGACTGCTTTTCGAGAAACACTTATTAGAAATTAAACTTGCTCTGATGATTCGATCGATTGAAAATAGTGTTGGTAATTACTGAAGATTAGTATAGTTAGAGTTTTTATTTTTTTGCCAACAGTCACCCTAATGATATTAGCCCAAACGTAAGTAGTTTATTTTCACCGTGTATATATAATTGTTCCAATTAAGTATGGCGTTTTTGGTTTAATTGACAATGTTTGCACTGCATAAAATTGACTTCACGAATTCATAACAAAAGTGAAAAATTCACATGGTTGCATAGGTTCTATTTCAATAAACATCACTGATGCCAAGGCCCTTGGCCATAACTGGAAAAAAATTTCTGGGGGGGTCTAACATTATTATAATACAACCTATAAATAATAAACTATATTCACTGCTAAAATGTTTCTACTTTTGAAAATTTCCGGACCCCTGGATCCCCCCAGTTACGGCCTTGTTTGATGCAAATGGTTTTATTTTCTTGCTGTAACCGTGCACGAATGGCTTCGATAAACCAATCGATAACGTTAACCTAGGACAACTGAGATAACAAGTACGCCATTGCTTTTTTTAATTAAGTAACCGAATGAATTCTACGTTCGTACATACAAATTACGCCTTGTATATCTTCTAACCTACGCAATGGGCAATGGTATATTAATAACAGTATGTTGGTGAAACGTAAATATTTGGACGGATGTATAACGTGTTACGTGATGAAAATGAATTCATTGACAAAAGGTTACGATATTGTATAAAAGTATCTACTCTGAAATTGCTACTAATAGAATAAAAGAAACTAGGTTGAGGTAGTCAAGGAAATCAAAACAGACGTAATAAACCGTGATAGGAATGCGACGAGAGAAAAAAAATTTCGTGTTGCACAAGCAATATATATGAACGAACGGACAGAGAAATAGTAACATATTAGTAGGTATCATACTTCCTTTTGTAGACCCGGTGTGTTGAAAATATTTCTCTAGGTTTTTGGTAAACGAAGAGATAAACACGTATGCCTAATTAGTTTCACGCGAGACACTTATCGAACTGCAGGTGACTAATATAATACTAGTTATAATTAATGAATTTTTTTTCTCTCCCTTCAGATAATTATTATTTATTTTGTACATACCTACGGTTTTTTCGAGTCAATCGACAATAATAATTTTTGCACGTATGCATGATTGGACGAACGTCTGAACCAATTGAACTCGATCTGTTTCCACGAATAAATCAATAGAACGTGATGACCATTGTTCAATGTGGACGGTCGTTTAACATCAATATCGTATTGTCTCAGTATATTGCGTTTACAGTTGACGACATGTCGACTGTACTGACCAACAGACCAAATAAATACTTTCAGTTATACCTATTCACTTGTGACCGTTACGTTTGTTGGGTTGCATTTGGGGTTAGGTAACTAGATAATTTGACGCGAATCGTTTATACACGCACAATCCGGATGATATGCGACCGAGTTTACGTAATCGAGTTGGTTCCGTATATATTTTTTTTTTTTTACTATTCAACAGTAACCAATAATTGTCAATTGAGCATAACGATGGACAATTTTATTTTCTCAATCATCAACATAAAAATGTTTCATTCCAGCGTATGTGTTTTTCCGTACGAACGTCAATTATCGCGTTTATCAGTTAAACGATGTGCTGCACAAGTTACTGGTATTTTTCTAGACCGCAATTATAACAATTTAATGCATTTAAACCGACAAAATTTATAACGCTATTTACAATGTTCATTAAAATTATAAGAAATGAAAAACGTTGAAAACTAAAAACCATTTACTACAGTTTATTTGAACTCTGTTTTTTCATATATTCAAGTGCAATAAAAAACATTTATCGTCAGACTTTAAACACCATAACAGATACATTATTATTATTAGAACATATTAAACATTGTTAGGTACAGTGACGTATTTTTAGGGAGTTCTCGACCCCCCTCCTCATAAGAAAAAAAAGTTCAGAAGTCAAAATTACTTGCTACAGAGGTAAAGAGAAAGAGAAAAATAATTTATACCATATGGTTGTAAATAACTCTTCATTTATATTTATAATAGTAGTAGAATAATATAATTATTAATACATACCTTATATGTAATTTTACAATATTATTAAATAACTTATTTTTTATAAAAAATGTTAAATACGCCACTGGTTAGGTACTTCATAAAAATTCTTCAGTTATTTTAAATAATTTAAATACAAATAGTTTAATAATATATACGTTCTAAATATTTAAAGAATAATAAAACACAAAACTGTTCTAAAAACAGTTTCAGAAATGTACATATAGTTTATACCAGTATGCTCATAGAAATTCAAATACGATGTTATTTTTTAATACTTTTGAACGGGTTTAACTATTTAAGAGTATTTCTACTCGTATTTTTAATAATAATTATAATATAATCGTATTATTATTCATATAAAATTGATATACTTTGTTTTCAGAAATAAAAAAAATTGTTTCCGAAATTGAACAGTTAATCCTATTAGACTGAGCGAACATTATTTTCTTGATTGAGTTTTACTTTTTTCTTTTCACCTTTGATTAAAATTAAGTTTTAACATTTTCTCATCATAAATAAATGAAACATAATTAATTTATATTATATTTAAAATTATTGAATACATATAATAATTATTATTATTATTATTACATTATTCATTGTAAACAATTACTTATGTATAGTAAACAACCTTGAACCATTCAAACCGTATTTTGTTTAAAAAACAATTTTAATATTTGATGCATAACTTCCAATATTATCGTTGACAATATATTATGTAATTTCAGTAGAAACTACATATTTTAAGTATGTCTAATCGAGACAGGCTCAAAAATAGTTTACTAAGAAAAATAATTATAATATAAAAATAGGTTCCTGTAAAAAGTGTCAGTTTTAATAATTGTTTTATGGTTTTAAAAGTGAATATAATAAGTCGTTCGTGATATAAGATTTATTTTCCCACAAACAAATTCTATTTTTATGGAAGTAAAACAAAAAAATATTTTTATTAGTAGATATATCTATTTTTTGTTTTTATAATATTTATATTTATGAAACAAATAATATTAATAGAAACAAAATTCATCAGGTAATCGCCATAGGATGAACAAATGTCATGAAATAAATTAAATTTATGAAATAGCATATAATTTAAAACAATTTGTGAAATTTTAATTTATAAATTCTCTTTTTATAAGGATTTAATGGTTGACTACTGAAAAATCACATAAAAACCTCTATATTCTAAGTAAACATCACGAATAGAAAATTTTCAGTGCGTTTTAGTAGTTAAAAACGTATTTAAAAATAAAACTTTTTATCTAAGAGCAATAAATATAATATATTTAAAGATATCCAATACTTGAAAATTTTGTTTTTAAGACTTATTTTAAATATCACAGTGAATATAACCTGTAAAATAAAAATTGATTAATTCTTAAATAATTAAATAAATAAATTCAATTTTTAAGGAAATTTAAATCGTCCGCAGGTAAAAAGTTTCACATTAAAATATTTCAATTATTCAACTCTTAAACAATTCATGATATTAATAGAAAAAGCAAATGAATAGTAAAAAAGCAATTATTTGGTTTCCTAAATTGTATGTAAAAAATTCCATCTAGAAGAGCATCCAAACATTTAAATAATACATATGATTTTAG